GGTAAGTGTTTTTTTTTTGTTGTTGTTGTTTTAACCACGTTGTTTCAACAGGGCAGAATAAGGTGCAACAATTGCTGTATGTTACAGAAAATCTATGTCCCCCGCTTTGTGCAAAAGAAATTACATTCTCTGGTTTATGCATGTTTTTAAACAGGATGAGGAGACTTCTAGTTCTGATCCTGTGCATCACTAAGATTTTATTGTGTGCTGCAGCTTCTCTTTCATTGAGTGAAGAAACCTTAAAAAGTAAGATTACATTACATCATAGTAACGTATTTCATTCTGAAAAGAAAAAAAAATGTCAAGGAAGATTGTAATTTTTTTTTCTGATCTGTGCAGAGCTGTCAGCAGCTGGTGAGCAGTATGTGAATGAGGAAATAAAGGAATCTCTACTGAGAGTGAAGGAGGTAAAGGAAAAGATGGAGAAAGAAGAAGAAAAGCACATCCACCTCATGGAGGCCCTGAGGCACAGTGGAGACAAGAAAAAGGTGCAAGTAGTACATGTCTATTACAGGGCAACACAGAAACACGGCCATGAACACACAATCACAATTAAGCACAATTTAAAGATGCCAATTAACCTAACAGTCATGTGTTTGGATGGTGGGAGGAAGCCAGAGTCCCAGGAGAGAACCAACGCATTCAACGGCAGAAAATGTAAACTCCATGCAGACAGACCCTAGGCTGGGAATTGACCTTTTTGCTGCAAGGCAAAAGTCCAACAAGCCGTGCAGCAGTTTTCCAAAGGCTTTAAGTTTAAAATCCCAAACTGGTGTTGTTCACACTTTAACCGCTAGATGGCACCAAACCTACAACCAAATCTTTATATTATGCAGAATATGCTTCAGCAGGGATCTTAGAAGTTTTCAGAGTGTAGACACTTTCATATAATTTGGAGACATTAATTTAAGGGGGGTTTAACAGAATTTGGTACACCTAAAATTGGTTTAGCCATTTTAAGTCCTAACAGCAACTGAACAGTGGGAACTGACTGCAAATGTCTGGCTATTATGTTTCTAGTATGTTTACTTTCAGGTCTTATTTCAAATAAAAGACGGCAAATATAAAATATATACTTTGTACATTGCAAGCTTTGGAAATTAAAGAGTGTTGTTCCTTTATTTTTACATCATAATCAAACCAGATTTATATTTTCTTCCTCTTTAAGGCAGAACCACAGAGAAACCACAAAGCAAAGAGAAATTCATGACTGTGGGAACAAAGCTTGTTTTCTGTGCAATTTGTCAGAAAAAAACTTGACTTCATGCCAGAGCTTTGGCTTATTAATAGGTGTCTGTTGGTGGTTCACTCTAGGGGGCTATGCAGCTGGCCAGGGAAACAGAGCAGAGACTCGAGGAGGCAGAGCAGCAGTGTCGAGATTTAACCAAATCATTCTTTGGGGAGTGTCGGCCTTGTCTTGAGGATTCTTGTAAAGCCTTCTTTACCTCAACATGTCGCCGTGGCTACACTTCCTTTACTTTGAAGGTTTGGTTGCACATTTTCAAATCCTGACACTGATGCATAACAGGTGCTGACATGAAAAAACTCTCCTAATTTTCAGGTTGAAGACTTTTTTAGGAAAATGGCCTCCCAGTTTGAGTCCACAGAGCAGAATTCATATAAAACTTCCTCAGCTGAGAACCAGATCAAGGCAGAAAAAATTGACACGGAGCTGAATCAAGCTGAAGCATCATTCACTCAGCTGCTGTCAAACATCAGTGACTTATACAACCACAGCTTGACTGTGGTAAAGAAGATGCAGCATGTGCTTGGACCCTCTGTTCTCAAAGCTTTGACCTTAGAGCTCCAGTCAAACTCTTTCTCAGCACCACAGGATGGATCTGGTGATGGATTTTTTAAGAGTTTGGGTTTGGATCATATCCTTTACACAGTATTTGCATATGGGAAGGATGTGATGGAGGAATTCAGCTCTACGGTGGAGGATGTATTCGGAGAGATCCAAGAAGCTGATGAATATTTCCACCACTCAAACAGAGGTATTGGACTTCATCTTTTACATTTTGAATTTGCTATAATTACTTTATGTTAACAGAAGTAACTGATTATTTGTTTATATCAAAAATGCAGAATCACCTACATTTGGACAGCAGCCAAGTGGATATCTGTGCAGAGCGCTCCGCAGACAAGTGTCAGAGTGCTGGCAGCTGCAAAAACTGTGTGAGAACTGCAAAAATGACCTGATTAAAGGTAAACCAGGTTTTATTGTTAACTTTTAAGACTTATGTTTGTGCTGATTTATTAAACTACAACAACAAACTTAAATGTATTTAATTCCATTCAGATTCATTGTATGTGATATACTCACTGAAAGAAGTAAAATGAGAAATTATAAAAAAGTTTTATTACAGTTTTATAGATTTTTTTTTAAAGGATAGTTTATGTATAAACAATTCTTGTGGCAAATAAAACTGCAAATGGTAATCGTACTCGTTGTCTTACACTTATCTGGGGCAGGGGCTAGAGAAGCAGTCTCAGCAGGCCCCCAGACTCCCCTCTCCACAGATACTACCTTCAACTCATCAAGAGTTAGCCCAAAGAATTCCAGGGTCAGCCGAGAGACATAGGCGTCCCCCTTTGGAGACATTGCAGGGGTAAACCTGTCCGAGCCACCTGAGCTGAGTACTTTCAAGTCTTTTTGGCTTGTGGGGTTCCTGAGGCAGCAAGTAGGTACTATGAGGCCAAGCGTGCAACTGCCCGGGCAGTTGCAGAGAAAAACAACTTGGGCCTTGGGGGAGTTTGGAGAGACAATGGAGAACTATTGGTCGGACTCAAAATAACTCTGGCACACCATTTGGCACCTCTGGAGGGGAAGCAGTGCTTGGATAACACTATATTCAGGAGGATACTTTGAGGATCTCCTCAATCTGGCCAACCTGGGAGCTCAGAGCCAGACTTGCTCTTCACACAAGCTGAAGTCACCAAAGTGGTAAAAAAAAAAATGGACAGTTTCCCTTGAGTGGCAGACTGAGATGCTAGTTTCCCCCTCATAAGAAATGTGATCAGAAGGTAGGTGCCAACTATAGGGGTGTCATTTCTTTGCATCCTCAGTGGAGGATAATGCCAGTGTGCTTCAGGAAGAGCGTTGTGGTTTCCTTAGTAGCCGTGGAGCAGAGGAACAGCTCTACACCCTCTGCAGAGAGAAAGCTAGTTTTTCCGGTCAAGAACCTTGGTCGGATTTGTAGCAGATTATATTCATGATTTATCCTTTATATTTATGCATCTTTCCCAGAGTGTCCCCGTTTGCAGCAGCTACACTCTGAGATGGAAGAGATGCACACCCTGCTGAACGCCTCCCGTCTCCAGTATGACAACAGGCTGAAGCTCGTTCACAGACACACAATGGACACACAGAGGCTGTTTGAGGACACCAAGAATGAATATACCTGGCTCAACCTGCTGGTCAACGTTTCAGGGGATCAAAACAACTTCAGGGTCATCGAAGTATGTCATTTTCATGTTATTCCTGTCTTTATACTAATTAAGCATCTTGCAGTATACTTATAATTATCAGCATCTTCATCTACAGAAATTTTAACATGTTTTCCGTATTAAAAAAAGTGGAGTAATGTATTTTTTTCACTCTGATGATTTTTCAGGTAAATCTACAGCAACAGCTAAGGACTAACAGTCCAGGAGTTGACAGCAGTGTGGTTGTGTCCGTATTTGATTCAGCCCCTCTAACTGTCCAGATCCCTGCAAATTTGATGCTGGAGGATCCTGCGTTCATTGAATACACTGCTCAGCAGGCTCTGACCCACTATAAGCAGCAAATAAGAGGTACCCATACTGTCCTGTATAGCATGCCAGAGAGCTGAAATTAAAACAGTGAGAAATCTTTTAAAAACATTGATAGTTTAGCTATTTTAATGATAAAGTGGATCTCTATACTGATTTTACTTTGAAAATCTATGATATTTTTTTTATATAATCTACGGGAATTAAGTTACCAACTCCACATCTGAGTACATTCATCTGAAGTTCAAAGAAAAATACAGTCCAGTCTTTTCATCCTACATAATTTGAATGTTATGTTTTGTTAAAAATGTAAAAATAAATCATTTTGGGAGAACTGTCCAAGTTCTGGCCTTTCATTCTTAGAGTATGAAATGTTCTTAGGGCAAGACTGTTTGATTGAATCATTTTATGTTTTCCTTCTATAGGCTCTAATGAATTATCCTTACCATTAGGTACTGGAAAAATGTCAAAAGCAAAATTGAGGAATCTTATTTTAAAGCGCTTGATATGATGAAAATACAATAAAACGAAAGACAAAACAATTAATTTTATTATGTATGTGTGTGTGGGCATGTGTGTGTGTGTGTGTGTGTGTGTGTGTGTGTGTGGGGGGGGGGGGGGGGGGGGGGGTGTTAGTTGAATGGAGGTGATTAGGATGTAGAGCTGCAGCTGGCTGGACCCAAAAGCAACTGCTGACTTTCTAAAACTTGTTTTCAAAGGTGAGGGCTGAGCTATTTCTAATTTCAGAAAAGGCTGTATTCATTCAACACCTGCTAAAAACTACTGCAGATGTTTTACCAATCTGTGGTTGCCCGCTACTTCTATTGTGAGGTAGTTTGTCAGTTGTCTTTATGTTTCACCCATAACCTTCCTTAAGAAAGCTCTGCCTGTTATAATTTCTAATCTAACTCAAATTTTGATTATGGACGTGTTGCCCTGACACCCCATGTCCCCAAGGTCCAAGAAACCTAACCTACTGTCATTTAGATGAAGCAGACAGCACTGTGATGTCTCCTTTGATTTCTCAAATGCATTTATCACAATTCAGCCTGACGTAAACACCAGAAGACTCAGGTAGAGACATCAATGATTGCCTGGATCAAAGACTACCTGACCAACAGACCGTGCAGTTAGTCTGAATGAGGGGTCAGTTGTCCTTGTAGGAAGATACTTTAAAAATGTATTTTTACTCTGTACATATCTAAATTCCAGTAGCCTTCAACAGGGGGTCTGCGACCGCAAGGGGGTCCGCAGAGGTACTGCATGGGGGTCGCGAAAGTTTTCATTGATTAGATTTATTTTTTTATATTCCCAGCTGCAATATTTTCCACTAATTGAAATGTCTATAAATACACATTAACATGAATTCAACACACTGTTTTAAACAGATAAATGGAGGCAGATGTCTTTCAGTCATCAATGCAGGCATTCAGTGACACAGAGGACATCTTTCAAGCGGGGCACCATTTCATTCACAACACCTGTCGCATCTACGAGGATGCATTACTCCGTCTGTAATAGAGTGACCATTTGATATAACACAATTTCATACAATATATATATAATTAGAGGGTCCCCGCTCCATCTTATCATCAGTTTGGGGGTCCTTGGCCTGGAAAACTTTGAAGACCCCTGCATTAATTGAATGACTATGGTCTGGTCTCAATTAGTTAATGATTGTCTCCCCCTAGCGGAATGGGCACTAATTGAATCCTTCAGTCTGGAACATGAACTTCTGTTATACAGAGCTGGTTTGCAGCTTCTCTCAGCTTGCAGTTGTTGTTTTTTTTCATTGAGCATTTATACCTTGTGTAGTTTTTTTTTTTTTTTTGACTGTGTTTGCATCATTTATGTTTTTGCAGCTGGTTTAAGGGGTTGCATCATGTTTATGTGTTTGCAGCGCTTATTACGCTGCCAGAAATTCTGTGATTGCAATATTTTTTCCTTTATATCTGTGCTGTAAATCTATTTGCTATTTCTTTGCCTCACTATTTGCGTTAACACGCCTAATGTAATGTATGCCTTTTGAACACTTAAAATTGCTCTGCATTTATTCATAAACAGTTTTGGACCACCATAGCGTTCACTGCGGTGACGTTCACATAAGTATACACGCTCAACCAATCACGTGGCTGGTTTGAGAACCTCCTGAAGTAACTACCTTGCTTTCTATAGGCTGAGGGAAAAAGCGGGTCTTCTGGACTATAAAATGAGAAAATACCCGGGAAACTTTAAAAACAATATCTGAGTGTGAGGAGTTCTCATCTATAATCCTTTAAAATGCCCGCCACCTCTGAAATACACACTGAACAGAGGCAGTTGGAAGCCTCCCCCGTGACGGAGAAGAAGACGGTTGCCGATAAGGAGAATTTCGGCTTTTTGTGCGATGAACGCGGTTACCTGAATCTGTTGGAGTACATCCTGGCGAAGGGTCGCAAGAAGGGGGATCGAACCGGGACAGGAGTCCTGTCTGTGTTCGGAGCTCAAGTCCGATACAGCCTGCGAGGTACAGCCTAACAGTTTGTTCAGAAAAGACTAAATAAAGCATAACCAGCTCATTTCAAAGAATTTAAAAGACAGCTGTAGAATAGATGCTGGGATAATTTTCTTATCGGTAAATTAAATCGGTGATCGTGGACAAAGTGTGTAGCAATGTTATTATAACTGGCATGTTGAAACGATACATTTTTATTCCGTTTATGAGCCTGTGAGTTTAGCATGTTAGGACTTTTGACAGGCATCTGTTTATTGTTTTTGTGATGGTCCCCAGTAAAAACTGTCCAGAAATACCGTGCATTTACGTTATGTTACATTTCCAACCGAGTCTGTGATAGGAAAAAAAAAAATCACTTTCTTTAAAATGGAAATAATAAATGCTTTCAAAATTTGTGCGCGCTAAAATTGTTCCCTTCCGTTATGTCCTCCCTCTTCTTCGTAACTGTGAACAGTACAGGTAGTTTGGAAAATGAGGGCGTATTTTTATTTTAGGTTTGTAAAGCGTTTGCTTAATTAACTTCTATGTGAAATAAAAAAAAAATTATAATAATAAAAAATCACGCTACGAACGTTTGTTTTTGGGGGGGAGACATTTGGCTGACGGACAGTCCGTCCAAATAATGTGTCCTTCCGGGTGGGGGCGCCAGGTTTGTGGCCCCATAAATGATGCGCTGATTAATATTTTATTGGAAAAGTAAATGGCTACATTGTGCGCTAATAGTTCATCACTTTGCTCCTCGGATCACATGACTTTAAAAAAAAACTGAATTCACATATTTCCTTGTGCAGATTTTTCTTAACCCATGTTTTAATCAGTGTGTTGCTTATTCCATGCTGTTAGGATGACTTTCCTTGGCAGAATTTTTTTTTTTTAAGTTTAAAATAATCTGTGGGAAAACAAATTTAAGACAAACCCAAAACGAATCTGTTCGAGGCTGCAGAAGAAACCGGTCCTAGATCAGCTCCCAGCATAACAGTGACTCCATCAACAGCCAGAGCAACAACATAATCATTTATGTTACAGCATATTCTATAACAGAATTGTTCAAAGTCTGAACCAACATATAAGTGGGAACATTTGGTTTGCCTTATCACATCAAAAAACCTGAAAATTAGTCATTTTAAATTCTAGCAACCTACAAGAAGACTGTAATTCATTAAAAAAAAAAGGGTTGAAAATATATTAATTCTATTGCAAGACACTATGCTACACTATCAGTTCAATCCCAGTTATAAATTACAATAAAAGTGACATTTAGGTTTCAGCTTTCTGCATTTACATCTGCATCCTTTAACCTAATGGTTTCTTTGCAGATCAGTTCCCCTTGCTGACAACAAAGAGAGTTTTCTGGAAAGGCATCCTGGAGGAGTTACTATGGTTTATTAAGGTGAGATGATGGGGAAATCCAAATTTGTTGCTTTGTTTTCTACATGCATCTTGGTCAATGAAGCTCTAACATTTGTTTCAAATGCCACAGGGATCAACAAATGCAAAGGAGCTATCGGAGAAGGGAGTAAAGATCTGGGATGCCAACGGCTCCCGTGCCTTCCTAGACAGCCTGGGCTTCACAGAGAGAGAGGAGGGGGACCTCGGACCTGTGTATGGGTTCCAGTGGAGGCACTTTGGTGCAGAGTACAAAAACATGCACACAGGTACTGCAATGTAAACACGTGTGGCAGGTTTCATGTTTGACCCTAAAAAAAAAACGCACTGTAGTTTTTATTTTTAAGATAAAATTTGATTTCTCAATAACTTTTTTTAAAAATATAAATTAGTCATTTAAATCTATATTTGTATCGAAAGCACTTTGAAAATCAATCAAAAACAAACTTGCAGCACAATTAGGGTATACTGCAGGTACCAGTCCAAGCCAGCATGTGGCAGAGTTGTACAATTTTTAGAGCTGAACATTAGTTTTTTTGCCTCATTACATGATAAGCCAACCATTTAAATACTAGTTTATTTACACATATAAATACAAAATGACTTCTCATGAAGTCCTCAGTTCAGAAACTGTAAGAAATTAATACCGCTTTCCCAGCCAAATAGACAGGAAAAAGGGAAAGAAAAAAAAAACAATTGTTATTTTCATTCAAATTTTTTCCCCCACCCTGAGAACCATTTTTATGACATAGACTTTTTCCCTTAAGGAGAGGGTGACATTATAAACATGTAGTCATAAAAATGTCTTAATGCTAACTGAACTCATTTATATTGGCCACATCATAAAGTGGATCAAAGCAGCTCTTGCTGTGTTTACTGTGTATGCTGGTCCTACATGACAAGGGACCATAACATCGAGACACCTAGTAGGTTAATTTAAATCTTATCATCTTGGTAGAAATTGGACATTGCTTCCAGTCTTTAAGTTGATACTTTAGGAATAAAAAAAAATGCAATTGTTTTCCTGCTTTAGGATTTCCAAAATACCAGATAGTGAAATCTGGCCTTCGCGTTTCAAACTATCTTCAGAACTGCAGTGTCTTCCCACTCTGCAGTGGTCTGTATCTAGTAAAAGTGGTCTAGTAAAGGATATGGTGATCCAGCATAAAGATCATAAGAGGAAAATACTCAAGCTACTGTTGCTCAGATTGCTGAGGAGTATTATGCTGGTTTTAGAATGGGTTGCCTCAGTTTGATGCTTACCTGAAAGTAGAGACGCCTATAATATTCATGATAATATTTAGATTGTGTCACTTTCTTTGTTTCCTAACCTGCTGCGTTTGTTCTGTTATTGATCCAAAGCTATTCTTCCAACAGATTACTCAGGGCAAGGTGTGGATCAGCTGCAGAATATCATCGACACCATTAAGAAAAACCCAGAGGATCGGCGGATCATCATGTGTGCATGGAACCCCAAAGGTGGGTTGGCATTATGTTTTTATTAGGGGGGAGCCTCTGAGGGCTGATTACCTGGTTTGGGTTTTAACATCCTTTGTGTGGTCTGCAGACCTACCTCTTATGGCTCTGCCCCCCTGCCACGCCCTCTGCCAGTTCTATGTCTGTGATGGAGAGCTGTCATGTCAGCTGTACCAGCGCTCGGCCGACATGGGTCTAGGGGTGCCTTTCAACATCGCCAGCTATGCCCTTCTCACCTACATGATCGCACATATTACAGGACTTAAGGTACGGCAGAGGCGAGAGCCTTGTGTGTTTAGCCCCTTGCTGTGTTTTCCATCCTCTCACATCTGTCGTTTCCTGCAGCCAGGTGACTTTGTCCACACTCTGGGAGACGCTCACATCTACGTCAACCATGTCAAACCTCTAGAAGAGCAGGTGGGTTAACTCAACCGGTTCAGCAAAAAACATTTGTCTGATTTTGTTCGGATTCTGAAACGCCCAATCTTCCATTTAAATGTGCAGCTGCAGAGGGAGATTCGTCCATTTCCGAAGCTAAAAATCAAGAGAAAGGTAGAGAGCATCGATGACTTCCAGGCGGAGGACTTTGAGATCTGTGACTACAACCCGCACCCCACCATAAAGATGCAGATGGCTGTGTGAAACCAAATCCTTGAAACATTAAGGGCGATCATTTTCCCAGCTTAACTGTGTGCCTTTTAAAACTTGACAAGATGGGTTTTATTCAAGACTTTGTTTTGCATTTTTGGTTACAAACTGTTTCACTTTATTCAGAAAACGTTTCCTTATGTTAACGCTTTACTGTGTTTTCCACATTTTAAGTGGTAAATTATACATTTTGTAAATAAAATACTTTTTTGAAAAATTGAGTCGTGTAAAAAGAACCCTCTTAAGCTTTTTTGATAAAGTTTCAGCTTTGATGATTTATGATTATTCATCTATAATGAAGTTGGGTCATGTTTAAAAGTGGTTTATTTATGATAAAATCCTTATTTCTTGTTTTCAATTTTCCAAACGTTTCCCTCGGGGTATTCGTGTCTTTGCACTGATGACTCCAGCATCTCACAGGAGTAGCCTGGATCCTGAAAACGGCAATACATGAAGTGCATTTTAAAAGTATTCACACCCCTGTACACTTTTCACATTTTTTCCATATACATTAAAAAATCTTATTCTTTTATGTGACAGGAAATATCCAAAATGAGCCTATAAAGAGTGGGGTGCCTTTGCATTCAGCTACCTTTTTTAAAGAAACTCAAATGAGTTCAATCCTGCTGGAAGGTGAAACCATCAACTCTTCTGCAGCCTCTACAGCTTCTCCCAATAAAGCCCTGTATTTAGCTTCATCCACCTGTGCATCAATTAAGACCTGCCCCTGCTTAAGTAAACTTAGTCTACAGCAGGGGTCACCAACCTTTTTAAGACTGAGGGCCATTTCAAGGGTACTGAGTCATAGGAAGGGCTACCAACACTGACCCATGCACAGCAAGGGTCAGTGTTCACCTAAACTTCATTATACATTATAAACATTTTTATTGTTTCCTTTAAGTTCTAATTGTATTTTAGACATTGTCATTTTGAAAGGATCTATAAATTATTTTAAAAATGAGAGAAACAGAATAGAATAAAATTTCAAACTTAGCCCACTGGGGAATTGTTCTTTTCTTAGAAGTCTGAGGGCAACCCAAGTGGTCCATGAGGGGCCCCTTTGTGCCCGCGGGCACCACGTTGGTGACCCCTGGTCTATAGTATGACATTTTTAGCATCATGTAAATTAATGAAAGAGTTATAGTTTTATAACCTAACCCCATTTTAAACTTCCCCACATGTTCTTCTCTAGTCTGTGTTCTTTGTCCCCCCATATGCCGTTTTTTTCCACTTACACACCTCAGATTTTATTTAGAAAATCTTTGTCTTGGTCTGTTAGCTAGAATCCCAATAAATAAACTGACGGCTGTTTAAACAGGACAAAATATGTAAAAGTTAACATTACTGGAGCAAGACCCTGCAGTAAAATAAAATCAGAGGTGTGTTGTCATTTCTTTACCTTTGGGGGCATGTAGTGGGCGTTTCTGATTACCACAGGGCTGCTGAAGTGTTCATGGAGGTGGTCAACATATTCACACATTCTGCAAAGGCATCAAAGGTAGGTCAAATGTTTTGAACATTAATGGCAGTCACTGATTCCAGCACCACCTCACCGGCCGCTGAGATCCGCCGACACGCAGATGTAGTCAAACAGGATAAGATGCTGGACGAGCTCACAGAGACCGACCCCTCCAGCGTGAGGACACACAGGCACTGAAGCAACAAATAAACAGCACTGTTAGAAAATGATGGAGGCACCAACATGATGAAACCAACTTTTTAATACTACCTTCTGCTCTGTGTGACATATCACTTATTTGATCATTTTCTATTTTTTTTTCTTTTACTATTATTTTCCCACCATTTTTGAAGAAAGCAAATAAGCTAAAATCCAGTTGAGTTATAATATAGTTACCATTTGCAACCATTGGGACCAATCTGACCATTTTTCTATCTTTACCCAAATAATTTAAATATTTAAGAGGATTAGTTTATCAGAATTGATCATTTCTTATTTGTGGGAGTCGTTTTTTAAACTGTATCTTAGGTTTTGACCTTACAATCAAATTAACTGGATATATAAGAAAGGTCTTTGTGTGAAGTTGTGTCAAAAAACTTTTCTAACTGCATTCTCTTTTCCCATCTGTAGAAATCCATCCCTGCCTCAGTATATCTTAGTTTAGGGTAACAGAGATGTTGCTTTTTTGCTTATCTCATTGGGATTGGATTTATCGGTCTCTTTTGTGCAATAACCCACTTTCAGATCTGTTATTTAAATTAACTCTGAGCCCTTCACTATTTTTCCATTATAAGTGGCTCTTTATTTCTGATTAGATGCCTCTCATTCTTAAGACACCCATTAGAAGAGCCATTTCTGCTTCTTTTAATTTCCTACAAAGAACATTTAATGCTTTGATTATTGTCTTCATTTTGTCTGTCTGCTTCCTCTCATCACTCAATCAGTCACTGCAGATGGCTGACCATACTGAATCTGTATCTGCTGGAAGTTTCTGATAAGGTAGTTATGTTATAAGGCAGCCATTTTTCTCCAAAGTTGACAGATGCTTGCACAGGATCAGGTTTGAGTTTCTTTTTATTGGGGTTGAATAAGCAGTGGAATTTACTTGTATTGTGTTTGACTTTGTGCTGAATTGGATTTTGTATAATTCAATCCAAATATAACTTGACAGCAGTGAAACAAAGTTGTAAAGTTGTAATTTAATTCGATAAAATCATTCAAATGGAATATGACCTGTATGTGTTTGTCTTGAACGTGGCCACATTATGTAGTATAAATTGGTGTTAAATTAATAAACTAGGCTATTAAAGGTTTAAGTCTATGTGGCGCATGATCAGAAACCAAAGTCCTAAAGTTTACCTTTGAACTTATGGGCCATCAGCAGCACAGCCAGGTTCTCATTGACACTGCCCAACCGGCAGCTGTCTATTTGCACAAACTGCAGCGCTGAAGCCTGCAGGAACTGCTTGAACATCACCCTATTGTGACACTAGAGGATTAAAAACCCCAATTAGTTATGTTGAGTGAAAAATCCTGCCAATCAATCATACTTTTAAGTGCATAGAAGATGTTTAAGCTCCAACCTGCTCGCCGGAGGCCACCCCAATCCCAAGTGGAGCCAAAGCCTGAGATAAGAGTTGCAGTCTTTTTAGTTAGGGTAAAAAGGACCTTGGCTTTTGTTGCTATTGCATTTTATAGCAATGCAGATATGAGAACTTATCCCAACAAGTACGTCAAAATATTCTTGAAAAACAGCCACAAGGAGACACATCATTTAGAGAGACAAACTACAACTTCAGCTGCAACAAAAATTCTGAAAACACAAATAAAGATGCAAAAAGAAAAAGGAAAGTTATCCAAAATACAAAGGGGGAGACTTTACTAACCAAAAAATATATATAAAAAAAAAAAACATAATGGACACCACATCTGAAAACATTTTAATTTAAGTGCACACAAACTCCTGAAAAATGTCAAATATTAATATGTTGTTCATCTATGAAACAAAAAGATTTATGTCAGCTTAAAATCTATTTTAGCAGGAAAAAGTTTTAGAAGCTCTCCTGTCAAAGTTTGCTTCTCTGGATTTGAACTGTCAGAATAAAATCCTGATATGTTCCATCGTATGACGATACCTAGCAATAGCAAAGAATAAAAATAAAAAAAAACATTTTTCACCTTTGAAATTGTTGCATGACCAAGAATGTCATCTGGGGATGTGGGCTCCTCGATCCAAAGAGGTTTGACTTCAGCCAGTCTGGTCACCCAGCTGATGGCCTCGCCTACGTCCCATCTCTGGTTGGCATCGATCATCTGACAAATTTTATTTATTTTTTTTAAATGGAGCCTTTTTTATTCACCATTGCAAGTTTGAAGGTGCACACTACCTTACCAGTGTGTTACTGGGTCCAATCATCTGCCTGATGAGACGACACCGTCGAATGTCATCCTCCAGGTCAGCGCCAACCTTCACCTTAAATCTGGTCCAACCGTTTTGAAGAGCATCTGTGCAAAGCTGGAGGAAAACATAATAAAAGAAAAGAAGAACTGGAGTAGAAACACTGCAGGTCACGTCATACCGACTTCTTACCTGTTTAAGCTGCTGGTCGGAGTATCCGAGCCATGCACAGGAGGTGGTGTAAGCAGGGTAACCATGGCTCAGCATCTGATCCTCTAGAAGTCATTACATAATTAGAAAATGACCTTCAATAGGTTTTACCAAAACTGTTTAAGTTGGCTAAATGTGATTCAATTTAAATCATACTTTAGGAAATGAATGGCTTTACTCACCTCTCTGCTGCTTTCCTTCATTTGCATTCATAAGTATATCTGGTAAAAGAAAGGAAAGAAAGAAAGTGTCTGCAAGTTTACCTTAGTCTCATTAGGATATACAGCACAGTTAAGGGGTTTACCGACACCCATCGAGGGATTATAAAGACACATTTTAACCATTCTTCTTCTAGGTTGGACTGACTGTCAAGCATTAAGACATTTGCAATTTAACTAAAAGAAGAAGAGTTGGAACAAGTTTGAGATTAGAATTATGAATACAGTTATGGCTCTGGCTTGGAGCCCAAACGTAAAGCTTAACTCTAACTGATTCGGTCATTTCAAGTCCAGTTTTCGTACAAAAGACCTTAGTCCTTTTGGCAATCCACCTTTGTTAGGGTAGGGTTAGGTTATATCAACCATCTGATCCAGAGAGGAAAGGAAACTTGTAAGAATGATCCAGATAAAACAGCTTACGGTAGTAAGGTGCCAGCTTTGCAATTCTGCAAAAAGCTACTTAAGTACCAGTCTCACCATGCACAGTGAAGCAACTCCTAGCATAAAGCACTCCTAGAAGAAACCAAAACAAAATTAAAACAACTAAAAATGACTAAAATTTAAAGAGGCCCTCACAAAAACCAAATTTAATTGGGGGGAAGTTTTAATGATTAAAACAAACGAGCTTGATTTCACAAATAACAAGGAATGTGTTTCTAACAGTCAATGAAAAATGTAACAAAAATTAAGAAAACTGTGCCAAACCTCAAGCATAGTGGTGGCACCATCATGCAGTGGCATAGTTGAATAATGATATATTCCATATATATATATATATATATATATATATATATATATATATATATATATATATTAGCTTCACCTCAAATACACAGCTTTATCCGGACATTGTGGAAAACAGACAACAAAAACAATTTTAGAAAGGATAAAGCAGGCTAAACTTAAGCTTTTCAAATGTCTTGACAACTATACTGAAAATATATATTTTAGCTTTTTAAAAAAGGTAAAAAAAAAAAAAAAACTAAAAAAAACCTGATAAAATAAAAACTAAATTGACATGAAGTATATTTTACATACCTAAGCAGGGTTATACCAGGAGCGTTTTGGTGGCTTCAAAGTTGTTAAATTTCTCCCATGGTTGTTATGAGACATTTAGGCAAATACTAATGGAGATATGTTTAGATAGATTGATGTAATTTAGAGGCTATCTATAGTTTTGAGCCTGTTTAGATTAGAGACAATCAATTGCAAATCCAAAAAGCAGCTGAGCTTAAAGGTTTTCCAACATGAAACAAAATGGTTGATGTACCTCTTTAAAAACCCAAATCAATGTAAGATTCTTGCTTATGAGTGGATCACACCCCAGGATGTCTTCTAAAACTATGTCTCACCGAGGGCCTCCTCCTCTGTCAGGACATCAGTGATGTATCTGAAGTCAATGCATGAGATGATCTGTTTCGGATCCTGAATCGACAAACGATGCAACATGTGTCCTCTGTGATCGTATCCTGGATGTAAATCCATTTAATCTGTGACTCACCATGTCGACAAGCAGCTTCCACAGAGGCTACAAGGAAACAGTGACAGTGGGTTGTGAGTCTTGTACTCCTGGAAAAAACTGGAAATGTTACCATCAGAGCCTGATATGAAGGTCCCACCTTGCCCTCTGCTCGAGCCCACAGGTCCCACACAGCGTTCAGGACCGCTGCGGTGGCCAGGTGGATCACCCCTTTCTCCGGGCCCAACTGTACCAGCAAAGATAAGAAAATGCAAAGTGCAATCTATGTTTAACTTTTCTTTCCTGCAAGTTATACTTGACAATACCTTATCTCTATTTTTTATGACGCACATTGTTTTACTAAAGGCTTGGATATAGAAAAGTCTACATCCAGAAGTTAAATCACTATTGCATTTATATCTTTTTGTCTAGAATAAAAAGATATATAGGTCAACAAACAGGAAATAATTTAGTAATAATTTATCCATTTGAAGAATGCTCATTAGCTCAGGGACAACAGCTGTCTAGACAAGCCCCCCCCCTAAAATTTTGTCTGTATATCTTCAAATAACTTAATTTTGAGCTAATTATTACATTATCAAAAATATATTTCATCTGGGCGCTGTGTGGCAGCAGTGATAAATCTCCCTATAACTTTTTATGTTGTATTGCCAACAACTAATGAAATTAAAATTTAAAACTAAGAAAAAAACATTTTTTTTTTTTTCATAATGACCCACACAATAGAGGAGACTGCCTTTAAGAGATTTCTTGCAGACAGCCATCCACAATAAGCTGCAAAAAGTTATTGTTGGATGTTCTCCAAAATAGTTTTTCATAGTTTTTATAAGTAGATTATTGGTTGGTTTAGTGAAGGTTTCTAACTGTAAAATTTGAGACATGTAATGCTTTCCTCAAGCTTTATAGGTTTATGCAAACTTTATTTTTAGCAGCAATTGGTCCCTGAACATTGTAAAAAACACCTAGACCTGATTTTATCACTATGGTATCACCATGGTTGCCTAGTTAGTGGAGCTGGTTCAATCTGAACTCCAGAGAGGAATTATTTAGTATCATCACGAGGAAGATGAGAGACACCAGAGCCAACGATGCAGAGGAGCAAAAGACCAATGTTAAAACAACCGGATTTTGCTTTATACCTCTGCAGAGAAACAATTAAGGTTTCCATATGTTGTTAATAAAAATAAAAATCTATACGCTATACTCTAGACCACGCCTGCCAGTCTAGAGTATAGAGAATAGAGGTCAATTGTCCCAAGACCAGGACAGAGGGGGGCCCAAAATTGACACTCTGATCATTAAAAATACAGGCAGAAGTAATTTTTCAGAAAATATTTGTGATAAAAATATTAAATATTAGAGTAACTAAATATATAAATATATCTGCATTAGGTATATGTACTATGTTTTCTTTAAATAAGGGGCCATTAGAACTACTTCTACCCAACATAAAATGGTTCGACCAGGACAATAGCGGGCTGCAACTTTTAAGGTTTGTTTCGCTGCAAAATAAGAATGTTAGGTTTTCAGAAGTCCGGCACACAGAAAAGAAAAGAGAAAAAGGGAAGATTATACCAAAGGCTTGAGGGATTTTAGGAGTAAATATTGAAAATAAAGTGAGGATGAGTCAGGAACAGGTCCAGGAGTGGAATTGGAGATGAATGATGCCCATTCAGACCCAGGTAAGAAGCAATGCGTTCATCAATGTGATTTTAAAGTATATCATCCACTAGCTAGTGGATGATATACTTAGTTCACCTTAAAATTGTAAAAAGTGTAAAAAAGGACTTTATTATCCAATACTTAGTGTATATTCTTCAAAGCATAGTTTGTGAACATAAAGCCTTTGAAAAGCAAAAAAAAAAAAAAACATGGCTTAAACGGAATCACTGAAAAATGAAATTGTTTAGGTCAGACAGTAGGAAAAGCTGCAGGGCTACAGCTTTAATCCTCAAGCACACCTGACATCTATAGAGACTACATTCAAAATCTAAAAGACTTTCTTACCCATCTCATCTGACCATCACTGGTCAGTAAGCGGTAAAACCCACGAAAGTTGCTCACAATGTCCTGCAAGGATTTCCCAACAACCAGTCCTTCCAAAGCCCTGACGGCACACACCACTGCAGAATTTCAGATTAAAAAATGTTGCATTATAAAGTATGAATATAACAAATGCTAACATTTATAATATTAATGAAACCTCATACTTTACACATTACAATACTTAAACTTACTGGCCGCAAAATGGCACTGCAGTCTCTTTATGATCCTGGCATAGAATATAAATGCTTTAAGCAATGTTTAATGCTTTCACTTGGATTCTTGAAGTCCAATTTGTATTATTTTTAAATCGGTGCAACTTCTTTGGCTTGGCTGTGCAACTTAAAAAAATATATAATCTTCTGAGGAATGGGAAATTCAATTTAAGAATTAAATTAATCAGCCAGCTGTTATAAATGTTATTATGCAAACTGCAGGTTTCCTTGTAAATTTTATGATTATCTATTTACGATGACCTCCAGGTCCTCCCAATGTCTCCATTATCAAGCATGGACTCTCACTTTAACATTTCCATGTCAGGAACAATTTAAAATTTGGAATTATGGGTATGGAGGACCAACTTTGCCATATTTAAAAATAAATACAGAAATAAATAAATGCTCAATAAATAAATAAGCATACAATTAATTGCCCCCAAAAATATAATAAACACATAAATGTAGGTAGAAATTAAATTATACAGTGAAACATAAATGTATATATCTCTTTAAAATTAGCTTCTTTATTTATTCACCTTTGTAATAATTACCTTATTTATTTATTGTCCATTATTATCTTAAACTTTATTCATTTATTACTTATTTTTTAATTTTAAGTATTTTTTTATGTGCATGTGATAATATTAAATGGGCAGAAGTTGACCTTCTAAGACACAGCCTTGCTTATATGCATAATGAGGTAGAAATGCATACAGAAATGTTAAAACAGGCAGAAATAATAGGATTGAAGAAATATATAGGGTAAAAAAAATACAAAGGAAGAATAAAACAGACAAAAATATTATATCATGTACACATATAGATACTTAAAAAATAAGTTATAAATAAATAAAGTTGAAGATTATTACAGACAATAAATAAATAAGGTAATAATAAAAAAGGTGAATAAATAAAGAAGCTAATTAAAAGAGATTCATACATTTATCTCACTGTATAATTTAATTTCTACCTACATTTGTTTGTTTATTGTATTTTTGGGGGGCAATTAATTGTATGTTTATTTATTTAATGAGCATTTATTAATTTCTGTATTTATTTTCAAATATGGCAGAGTTGGTCCTCCATATTATGTACCCCAGCGACGAAGAAAGATCCATAGGCTACTTTTAATGGGAATGCTATTTTTTTTTTTTTTTTTTTTGTTTCTATTCCATTCCAGCAGAAGTGCGTTTTGTGCCAAGAAGAGGGGGCAATTAATTGTATGTTTATTTATTTAATGAGCATTTATTAATTTCTGTATTTACTTTCAAATATGGCAGAGTTGGTCCTCCATATTATGTACCCCAGCGACGAGGAGTAAGTTTAAGAATAAATTGGCTATTTCTTTTTTTTTTTTTTTTTTGTATCAACTACAATTCTGTTGATGCATTTAGGTTGACTTCTAAAACCAAATTTCCTGGCTACACATATTAATTTTATATAAGATACTTAACAAAAAGTGAAGACATGCGAACAATGCACATTGTTTTTAGCTAATTTAACACGCAAATAGATATACAGACAATATTTAGGTAATACATATTCTTTGTGTGTCCCATTTCACATAAAAGTTTGTTATTATTTTATATCTTCTGCCTAACAATGTGTTGTTTCCTCCTGTCTGGCCCCTGCGCACCTTTCAACCTCGTTGAAATCCAAAAAGCATTAAATAACAGACTTTCTTCTATGTACCTGAACGCAACACAGAGTTAAATCTCCAAGTCGTGAAACGCTATTTAGAGCTGCTTGAACTCTTACCGATCTCGGTTCCTTTTCCCAAAGTAAAGGTGAGACCGAAACCTTTGAGCCCACAGTCCGTGTCTATGACAACATAAACGGCTGAGTAATCCGGGTCAGTGTGCTGCAGCGTGGAAACAAGGCAGAAAAACTTCGTCTTTATTTAGATCTGAACCCAATCTGACCGGTGTTTGGGTAAAATCTCCTCACCATCGCATCCGAGCCGTGCTGCTCCAGAGAAGTCGGAAATCTCACGTCCCTTACAGTTAGACCAATTATTTTTTGCAACATTTTAGCACCCAAACTCTTTACAGTGCTTCACTCTAAAGTCAACTACAGATTATAATCCCTCCCCCTTCCTCACTGCCATTGGTACGGAACAGGATTAGTGCCCTTGGAAAAAAAAAAAAAGTTAACTGATTTTTTAAATTTTATTTCAGTTTAATATGAGAAAAAAGTCAGAATTCTGAGAAAAATTCAGAATTTTGAGATTAAAGTCAGAATTCTGAGAAAAATTCA